GCGCGGGCGGAGCGGGGCGCGCCGGGCGGCGGCGATGGCAGCAGCTCCATCGGCGGGGCTGACGCTGCCCCGCTGCGCATCGCTCGGAGTGCCCAGGTGCCGAGCGCCCCCTGGCCCCGCTGGCCCGCGGCCCGGGATGCGGGCCGGGTCGGGGACCTGGGGCAGCGCAGTGGGGCACGGCGCCCGGGGAGGTCCGCCTCGGGGCTGGGCTCGGGAGCGCGGCGGCGGCGGCTTGGGCTCGGGGCGGCGGGGTGAGCTGGACGGCTCTCGCTTTCTCCATTCAGTGAGCAGGGCAGACACCAGAGACGCGGGGCCCACCCCTCCCAGCCCCCCCCCCCCCAAAACACGCCAGCTCCGCCTCCCATTGGCTGCGCCGCGCGTCATGTCGACTAAGTTGGGAACTTTGCTGGAGCGACCGAAGCCCGGAGGGAGGAGGCAGCAGAGGAGGGAGAAGGAAGGAACCAGGAAAAAAAAGGGGCTAGGTCAGCAGGGCCCCAGAACGGAGATTCATTCACCAAGGATGAATCAGTCTGGTGGCATGTTTTCTTTATTCTGGCACTGAGCTAGGCACTCTGCTCATGTTCTTTCCTTCGGTCCCGACATCGTCCCGCAAGGGGGCATTTAAGTACCCCCATTTTATAGATTAAAAAAAAAAAAAAAAAAAAAAAAGCTCAGAGAAGCGATTTGCCAGAGGTCACACAGCTACCGCGGAGCTCCCTAATTCACCCACGTTTTCCCATCACAGTTCATCAAAGCTGCATCCCTACCTCATTTTACAAAGACTCCGAAAGATCCTACCTAATCTTGGCAAAGATCTGCAAGTTATTCCTAAAGGGCCTGCTGTATTGACACTAATGCACTCCACAGCCACACGTGTCACAGCGTATGGTGGTCTGTGTTGTTCAGGTTACTGATGGCAAACCCTGCCCTGCTCTGCCCAGACCCAATCCCTGCTGTGCTGCTAAGAGTAGTGATGACTGGGACTTGGACCCCTGGGTTTTAAATGCTGTGTTCACAGACCTTGTACTTCTGCAAGGTGACCCTGGGCCGATCATGTCACCTCTGAGCCTTGGTTTCCTCAAAGCAAGGGGGTCACAGCTCTGTCTGAGCCCACCACACTAGGTTGTGAGGAGCATCAAAGAAGAGAAAGTGTTTTTGCAAAACAGTCATTCTTATAGGAGTCTTTCTGCCCCCAGCGCCTTCCTACTTCAGTGCCTGTTCTAAGGCCAGGTCTGAGCTTTTCCAGATGCTGGCGGGGAGGAGCTCATGTGTTAGAGGCTCCATAAATTCTTGTAGGAATGATTTTGTTTGTTTGTTTGCAGGCAGAGAGCAGGAACTGAAGGAAGCATTGCCTAGACTTCCTTGAGGTCTGCTTACACTGGAAGTCTGAATGAGCCCTGCACACACACACTCACACACACACACACGCTCACACACTCATATCCATATAAACATTCGTACTCAATCACATACACACTTGCAAATACATTCTCAGAACACACACACAGTATCAGATGTACCATGACAACAACGATGCCACTGAGAAGTCTTTCCTTTTTCTTTCATATAAATGCTATTCTGATTCCTTCATTTTCCTTAAGGAAACTTTCAACTACTTGACCAAATCCTGTGAATATATAGTAGAGGTGCAGATTTTATTTTATTGTACTTAGCAGATTTTCAAAGTCTTAGTTCCAGGCACCCAATTGTACGTATGTGTACACACACATACACACATGCACACTCCAGCCTCCATCATTCATAAACACATTAGGTGCAATTTACTGCTGTTATTCTTGGGAACAGCTTTCTGTACTGATGCTGTTGTGATCGCCCTCTGGTGGCCATAGAGGTCTTTGGGCCTCTGGTCCTTGGGGTGACTTCAGCATTTAAGAACTCTAAACATCCTTTCCTCTGAAGCTTTCTTGCAGACCTTGAACCAATTTCGTACCAGGTCTGAGGCAGATGAGAGAACTGGGCAAAGGCCCAAGGGCACACACGCATCTCAGACTGTCTGGAGCAGAAAGGAGTTGGGTTTTCTTTGTTTTCCCAAAGGCACACCAGCGCATATTTTGCAATCCCTTCCGGCTGGGCCTGGGTCTGTGCTCTGAGCACAGTGGGGAGGACTAGGCAGTGTTTCCATTTAAGCTGTTGGGGGTTTCATAAGCCTGACTATAGCTTTAAGTGACTTCATAGGCATTCAAATGTGCTTTTCCCTTGGAGAACCACTTTAGAACAGAGTACAGGGGTCAGTCACCCCCAAGGAAGAGGCAAGGGTAAGAAACAGGAGTATCCAGGACATTGGCTCCACAGGGTCAGGGACTGTTTGGGTGGGAACAACCTTAGAAATCACCATCCCAGCATTTCTGCAAGTGCATTCAGACAACTACTAGTTCTATGTGTTTCTTCATGGGTTCACCATGGGGTGGGGATAGTTTCCTGGTGCAAAACTAGGATGAGAAGTGATGTTTACTTTCACCTTCTTGAAGATTTGCATCCCAGAGAGTGAATTTAAGACCCTGAGAGGTTCTGCAGTGGATTAAGATTTGTTTAACTCTGTTTTTCAGGATAGCTGACCCTTTTACATGTAAAATTTAAATTATTTTGGAATTTTTGGAGAACCCTCAATATAATTCAACCCTGTATGAACTAACATGGAAACAGTCTCAGGGCATGGAGGGCACTGGAACAGGTCACTCAACTAATTAGTGAGAGAGCCAGAGCACCACTTTAATCAGTTGAAGTTTTCTTGTTTCATCAATAGAAAATAACTAATTGAAGAAAAAAAAAAATTTTTAATCCTCACCTGAGGATATTTTTCCATTGATTTTCAAATAGAGTGGGAGGGATGGGGAGACAGAGAGAGAGAGAGAGAGAGAGAGAGAGAGAGAGAGAAAGAGAGAGAGAGAGACGTCTATGTGAGAAAGACACATCTATTGGTTGCCTCCCGCATGACCCCAACCAGGGCTAGGGATTAAACCACAACTGAGGTGCACGCCCTTGACTGGAATCGAACCCAAGACTCTTTGGTCTGAGGGCTGATGCTTCAATCGCTGAGCCAAACTGGCCAGGGCAAAAAAAATGACTTTTTAAGAAGGACATAGGGTGGCATACAAAATTTATGGGGGAAAAAATGAAGGCGGCTTTAAAAATGTATAAGGCAGGATATAGGTGCCAAGCCCAAGATTTCCAAATTCCCAGGAGGGAAAGACTGCTTGGCCTGATTTAGGCGACATGGTCACTGTCTTGGCCAGAGAAGACAAGAACCTGTGGGTGACAGTTCTGTGGAAACTACGCTCATCCAGGGAGGAGCGGTGCTCTCAAAGGGAAACTGGGGCGCTGTCAGCTGAAAAGGCAGGAGGAGGATGAGAAGGCGAAACAGGACCAAAGCATCTTTCCTCCGTCTCACTCCACAGCCAGTCAGTTCCCGAGTCCTGTTAACTCTCCCCGTGACTGTCTCTTGAGTCTGTCCCTCTTCATTTTGGGGCCTCCTGCCATTGTCCAGATCCTGCGCGCATGACCATTGCTCACATGGCACCCACCATCCATCCTTTACCCTGATGATCAAGGGATTTTTCTAAAATGCAAACTTGACAATGCAGTCCTGAACTTGGAAGTCAATTTCTGCCTCTACCACCTCATCTCCCATCAGTCTCTGACACCCACTCAGCATCTCTCCTGGATCATTCTTCTCTGCTTTCTCCTGTCTGGTGAGCCCAGACTCGGTTAGCTGTCCATTTCTCTAGGAAACCTCATGGGTTCAGACTCTCAAGGGTTATGGCTCTAGCTAATCCATTTACTCCAATATTTTTTTATAAACATTTCAAGTATGTAGAGATGTCTAATCCATTTTTGCATGCTTGATGCCTAGAAATACAAATAAATCTTTGATGATTGATGAACGAAGAAATGAATGAATGTGTGAATGAATAATCTACTGAATCAGCTAGCTTATTTGACATTCTCTTGTAGTTTTGCTTATTGTGATGAGTATTACTTAATCTTGTGGAGGAGGTTTTCCAGAATTTCTGGGGTATTTTTTGTAAACTACACACACACACACACACACACACACACACACACACACACATTCTGATTGTTTGCTCCTACCCCATTGAAAGTTACCATGTGTGTTGGTCATTCTCCAGTGGATTGTCCAGGTCACTCTCTGCCCACTGTCACCTGTTTATTCCCCAGGAGGCTGACCTATACGAACTGCATCACCTGCACTCCCTTGGTTCTGGCCTTGTGGGGAACGAGGTCAGAGAGGCCAAGTCTTCCTCGACAAGGACAGCAGTTTGGCAGTGGTCCCCTTCCTCTCTGAAGGCCGCAGTTCATGTCCCTCAGCTACCACCCCCACCCCCTTATCTCTTATGGTGGAGTAGGGGCAGCTTCCCTCTGCTGCTAAACTTTGGGTAGTCCCCATGCCTTGTTGATTCCTTAATCCTGACTCCCTTTTCTAACTAGTCCCTTTCCTAAACTTTCTTCATTTACTCCTTTGAGTGGTGCCGTCTGTTTCCTACTTGAACCCTGAGACTGGCACATTACTTCACTGAGCCACTGAGACAGAGCTCTGAGGAACAGGTGAACAGGGAGAGAGGGAGAAACCACGAAAACTCCGATTTAAGATTAAGACTGTGATCGCTATTAAGTCCTCCTGGAAGAGCCCAGCCAGGGTGGCTCAGTGGATTGAATGTCATCCCGTGGACTGAGAGGTCCTGGTTCGATTCCTGGTCAGGGCACATGCCCAGGTTATGGGCTAGATCCCCAGTAGGGGGCGTGCAGGAGGCAGCTGATCGATGTTTCTCTCTCACGTTGAGGTTTCCATCTCTCTCTCCCTTCCTCTCTCTCTGAAAAAAACAATAAAAACATATTTTTAAATAAATAAATAAATCCTCCTGGGAGAGAGAAAAACTCACGAATATGAATTTTAGGTCATCTCTGGAGACCAGGGTTAAAGGAAAGGTATCATTGGTTGTACCTGGGAGGCAATTTTTTTTCAGGGGACAGCATGAACACAGTCCCCCCACTACCACAAATTATGCTGCTGAGTTTCACACATTTGGGGAAATTGCAGGGGTCAGCACATCCAGAGTGCAATAGATAAGTCTCTGCCACGAAAAACTACCTTCCTGATCATGGTATCACCCCTGCCACGTTAAGTATTGGCAATTTTTTTTCAATGCAAATTGCTTATTTCTTCCTCTCTTGAGAATGAAAGAACAATAAAGGTTTACTGCCAGTTAACCTATGGAGCTTCCCCAACGGGAAGGATCTACTCTGACTAGATAAATGTTTGATGAATGAATATACAACTTTAAAATAAGTACCCGGGAGAAGAAGATAGAGCAACAGAACTTCCCAAAATCCAGATCCACTATAGTGAATAAGCATTATTTGCTCTTTTACTCCACCCCTGTAATTGTGGTTCAGAATTTTCTTGTTCTTATAGGACCTTGCCTCCCTCAAGATAGTATTTTCTGGAGGTGGGCACAAACTGAAATGAGCCCATCGGTCTTCCCTGGGACGTTTCAACTGGACCTGGAGGGAGAGATCCAGTCCCTTTGTGGTTGCACAACTGCAGCGTATGAGAAACAGGAGTGAGTGGCCATGTTTTCGGCTGAGTGGCCCAGCATGGTATAGCACAGTGCCTGAGACCCACTTTCCAGAAGTGTGCCGAGCTTAAGTTAGCGATCAAACAGCCATTTGTTGAGAACTTCATATATTCCCAGGAGAAGACACAGCTCACAGCTGCCAATAATCTAGTTAGGAATACAAGATTAAGATATAAGAAATAAGAGTTTTAAAATATGGCATGTAATTAGAGGCTAATTGATGTGGGTCAGATAGTAAGGGCTCTGAAGCGGGAGAAAACACTCAAACTTGGGTTGGATGAGCTGAGTAATAATGGCACTTGGCTTTTGAAGAATGCATAGATTGAGAGTGATCAGTGGTAGGAAGGGGCCTTTGCCTTCAGGGAAGTAAAGGCAAGGAGGCAGAAATAGAATGTGCATGGGGTTGAGGAGAAGACATTGGGAATGTAGATTATAAGAGAGTTTGGGGCAGATTTCTATTGGTCTGAGAAAAAATTTGAGAAAAAGAGCTTTGATGCCTGATTTGTCCTTGGACGTAACTTGGCCACCTTTTTAGACCCTGGAGGGCTCTGTGCAGAGGCAATGGCTCTAACCTTGAGAGATGATACCGATAGGAATCTCCTGAAGGGAACCAGAACTGTGCCCCTGTTCTACTGTGCCCTGGTCTGAGAGAAAGCCAGGTGATGTGGGAGCTCGTGTTTCTCTAAACTGGTGCATCAAGCTGGTGCCTCATCCAGATGTGGAGTCAGGTTCCTGGTCAGAGTGCCAGAGTGCTGACCTGTGAGGCCTGGCAGACAGGTGAGTGCAACCCTGGGCCCCTTCAAACTACGCAATGAAGGTCTGTCTCATTTTTGAGCAAAGCAAGAACTGTCACTGGGGAAATGGCTCTCCAATTTGAGGAGTATTAATCACCTAATTAACTAGAACACCTGCTCATTAAACTCATCCCACCCAGGGAACCAAATTAAACAAAGCGTGAGGATGTGCTGCACAGACTTGATGGTGGCATCTGTATCCTTGGCTGGCCTCCTTGGCACTGGGGTTCCCACAACTCTCTAGCCAGCTGTTGGGCTTGACAAAAACTTCAGAATACCAGCATTGTTTAGCAAGCAATGATTAGTGCAAATGCAGAGAAACTACTCTTGCAACTTCATGGATGACCCTGATGTGCTTGGGCACGTTCTGAGTGTTTAGCATACATTAACTCTAGTTCTCACAACAATCAAATGAAGTCCTCTATTATGGCAGAGGTTTGCTGAATGCTCACACATCCAGTTTCTTTTTCCTGGATACACAGGAAGACTACATTTCCCAGCCTCCCTTGCAGTTAGGTTGGGGCCATATACCTCATTTTGACCAATGGAGTATGTGCAGAAGTGATGCACAGTACTTTCAGACTTGGTCTTACATAATCAGGCAAGCCTTCTCTCTTTGTTGCCTGGACAAATAGGAGGCATCCAGGGGAGGATCCCAAAGCACCCTGAGATAATGGTAATGCCACAGAAAGGAAGACACCAGCATCCCTGAATCAACAGATGGAAGGCAGCAGCCTAACAGTCTGTAACAAGGGAAAAACTTAAACTCCTCACTGAGATTCAGGGGTTGTTTATTATAGCCATTGGCATGAATTACCCGGGCTGATATACCCATGTAATCTTGGCAGTTATGTTTTCTCAAATCACAAAGGCCCAATCTTAGGGAAAGCTACCATCTATGAGGTATGATTTCAGAAACAATGGGAAATTCTCCTCTTCCCAAAACAATATCTCTTTCCATTGATTAATTGAAGAAATGCTTTTAGTAATTAGTAACCCTCATTATCTTCCCTTTATTTGTTTCTTATTTATTCATTCAACATATATTTACTTCCTCAGTACAGGTAATGTTATACATGTTACAGTGAAGACACACTAAGCATGATTGCTACTATCATGGAATTGTGTATGGGCAGCTGATTTGTAACAATCAATTAAACAAGAAAGTATATATATATATATATATATATATATATATATTATTAATATAAAGTTTTGAGTGATGTGATAAAGACTCATTGATTCTGGCAAAGTTTCAAAAAAGTGGTAATGGGACAAGACTTAAAAGATGAGAAGCTAGTGATAATATAGGGATGGAGTCAGTAGGTCATCATGTGCAAAGACTCTACAATATGAGTGGGCTAGTTGGAGGAACATGAAGAAGGGAGGGCACTGTGGATGGATCCTAGAACATGAGGGATACCTGTTCTGGGAAGGTCAGAATTATTTCTCTTTCAGAGTTGTACTGACCCAGTCTATGTAAAGCATGACAATAAGTGATATTACTCCTTTAATTTGTGTATGAAGAGAAGCCTAAACTCTTGGGTTAATCTGACTTGATGTAGAGTTTATTGCAATTCCAGGGGTTTTTGCATACAAGGGGGCTGATAAACTAATTAGGGGATTTGCATTAAAGCTATCTTGTATAGGCAGCATCATATTTTCCCATAGCTTTTAAGTTTTTCATTGTGGCCAAGGGTTAAGGGGTGGCACTGCTGAAGACCACTTGAGTAGGGAGTGACTAATCTATCCTAGGCGAGGCATGTTTGTTTCTGTAAAATATTTTATTGTACAAATTTCTGTTTTCCGAAGTTTAGCTCAAGGTATCACCATCTACCCAGATGGCCAGGCCAAAAACCTAAATGCTATCTTTAACTCCTCCCCTCTTTCCTCTTAACACACTCCATTCATCAGCTCACCAAGCTCTCTTGATTCCTTAACTTATATTTTTGTGAGATCCATCCTGACCAGTGTGGCTCAGTTGGTTGAGCATGTCCTGTGCACCAGAAAGCTGCCAGTTCAATTCCCAGTCAGAGCACATGCTTGTGTTTTGGGCTCGATCTCTGATAGGGGATGTGCAGGAAGCAGTCAATCGATGTTCTGCTCTCACATTGATGTTTCTCTCTCTCTCCCCTCTTCCTTCCTCTCTCTCTAAAATCAATAAAAAATATTTTTTTTTAAAAAATCCAACATTGGGGAGGGGGAGGAGGGTGTCAATGGGGGGAAAATGAGAAACATCTGTAACAAACACAAATTAATAAATAAAAATTTTAGAAAAAATCCAACTTTGTGAGATCCTACTTCCAATGCTCCCTCTCCATGAACTTTGTTCAGGCCTTAATGGCCTCTTGCCCAGGCCCTTTAACTGGCTTCCCTGCTCAACATCTCCACTCAAGCATATCCATTACTTATAGAATAAAGTCTAAAGACAAACAGCCAAATTAAAATAAGCCAAAGACTTGAAGAGACACTTCATCAAAGATGATATATGAAGACACACAAATAACAAGGGGACACAGAGAAAGATGCTCCAAATCAGTAGTCATTAGGGAAATGAAAATTAAAATCACAGTGAGACACTATTACATGGCCACTAGAATGGCCAACATTAAAAAGACTAAAATTACTAAGCTTTTTTTTTTTTCTTTTTTTTTTTTTTTATCCTCACCCGAGGATATTTTTCCATTTTTTGTTCAGGTAGAGTGGGGGGAGAGAGAGGAACAGAGAGAGAGAGAGAAACATCGATGTGAAAGGGACACATCGAGTGGCTGCCACCCGCACAACCAACCAGGGCCGGGGACAAACTGCAACCGAGGTACGTGCCCTTAGCGGGAACCGAACCCGGGTCTCTCAGGACCGCAGGCCGATGCTCCAACCGCTGAGCCAAACTGGCCAGGGCAAATAAAATTACTAAGCTTTGATGAATGAGATCATAGAGAAAGTGGAAGCCCCATTAAGTGTTAGTAGGAAGGAAAATGGTACAATCACTCTGGACAACAGTTTGGAAGTTTCTTTGAAGTTAAACATACATTTGTCATATGATACAATAGTTTTACTTCTCAATACTTACCAAATGAGAAGGAAAGATTAAGTCTACACAATAGCTCCGAGCTGGAAACCATTTCTATGTCTATCAACTGACGACTGGATGAAAACTAAAAATGATGTATCTGTATAATGGGATATAACTTACCAAGTAAAAGAAAAAACTAATATATGTAATGATGTAGATGAAGCTCAAAAACATAATGTTATGTGATAAGCCAAATATAAGACCACATTGCATGATTTCATTTATATTAAATACAAGGAAAACTGTAGATACGGAAAGCAGATCAGTGACTTCCCAAGACCAGGAGTGGGCTGGGCTGGGCAATGGGAATTGACTGATAACAGGTATAAGAGAACATTTTGGGGTGATAGAAGTGTTCTAAGACTGTATTGTGGTGATAGTCGCAAAACAATGTAAATATACTAAAAGTCAAAGAAGTTAAACTGGACTTGAAACAGGTTATTTTTATTGTATTTATATTATATCACATTATAGCTTCTAAAAAGATAATTGATAAAAGTAAAAAACAACAACAATCTACCAAGGAGTTTATAACATATGTAGAAATAAAATATATAAAAATAATAGCATAGAGGACAGGAGGAAGCTAATGGAAGTATGCTGTTATAAGGTTATTACACTATAGGTAAAGAAGCATAATAGTTTTTGAAGGTAGAAGGTGAACTATCACAAATTACAAATATG